GCCTGGGCCCGGCCCCGCTGCCGCGAAGGCCGCCCGGTGTTCTGTACGGGCCGCGGGCCGGAGCCGCGGTGGCAGACAGCGGCCAGGATGGGTGGACAGCCGCCCCGATGGGTTATTTTTTCCAACTCCTGAAAGAACTAAAGAATTCTGCTAACTGGTTTGCACATGCCCACATCTTCTAGAACACGTTTTCCAGTAGGATTCGGGGAGGAGCATTTGTTAAGCACGTCAGAAAACAACCGTAAAAGATTTTTTTTTAAATTGCTTTTTTAGTGGTCGTTTTAGTTGGCCTCCACAAATATGTGGCGGCTTCCGAAATCATCTGACTTGGTGTGTGCTGTTAAATTATCAGAATTGAGGTACTAACGGTCTTTGGGGAACGCTTCACGGTCACCAGGCTTTCTCTTTCTGAATTGAGTCATACCAGGTACAAAGCCCTTTATTATGTTTCATCGTCTAATTGCTTTTGCTTTATTGTACTTTGTGATACTTAGAGGTTTAAGCTAATCATAAAAGCATAAACCCACCGTTTATCCTTCGATCAATATTCGTTTATTTTAATTGATTATCTTTTGGGTGTGTGTTTTAACCCCAAGAAGTTATGTCTTCTCATTTTTAAAGTTTCATAACCACGTTGACTGTTTAACTCCTGTCAGAATTTGTGCTGGTCTTTTTTTTTTTTTTAACTGTAGTAGTTTCCTAATATCTTTGAAGAATCTATGGTACTAAAAGAATTAAAAGAATATCTTTGTATTTTAAGAAATTATCCAGAGTTCTTAATACAATTAATAATTTATTATCTCCTTTGTTAATTGCTAAATTATTTAGGCATGGTTTTGTGGACTCCTTTCTTTGAGCTGTTTTATTCTGGCTAATTTTGTTGAGAGACAAAATGAGATAGTCATAAATAATTACTGGAGTAATTTGCATTTAAAATTTGTTTTAACTGTAAGAATTAAAACATTGTTAAATGTTTTCTAGTACAAAATTAATGGTTTTTATATGAGGTTAAAGTTGAGTAAAAAACCCAAAAACCCCCAATTCCGACTCATAGTGACCCTGTAGGACAGAGTAGAACTACCCCATAGGGTTTCCAAAGAGAGGCCGGTGGATTTGAACTGCCGACCTTTTGGTTAGCAGCTGAAGCCTTAACCCCTGTGCCACCAGGGCCCCAGAGTGGAGTAGTGTACCTAAAACTGAAGCTCAGCAGTGGCAGTGCAGGTTTGGAGCTAGTTATTTCCTTCATACACTTTCAGGTTACTGAGGGTTTACATATAATTTCCACAATCACCATTTCTGAGCAGTCTGAGGAATTTCAGTATTCTACATCTTTAAAAATAGGTATTTTTTGAGTGTTTAAATACCGTCATTGAGAATGAACTTTAAGTTATCTCTCAAAAGTCTTTTTGCCACAAACAAGGAGTCTTGGTTTATTCGTTTTGTTTTTCATTTTTGTATTTGGTTTTACTCTAGCACCTGTCTTGGAATTAAAGTTTGTTTTTCTTTGCTTATTTAGCTCCTAGGAGTTGCTTGTTGTCTGCTTTGAAGAAACATGAAGTCCCTCTATGTTGCTGTGCCTGCTCTAGCCATCCTGATGTTCCTCACGTGGATCCCTGTGGCGCTGAGTTGTAACAAAGCGCTCTGTGCTAGTGATGTGAGCAAATGCCTCATTCAGGTAGGATGAAGAGTACCTTTTTAAAAACTGTTACAGTATAGTGAAGAGCAGATAAATTTGAGGCCTGATGTGCTGTACCGGTGACATGCTGGTCTGGGTTTTTTACCCCCTACAGTTCTCTTGCATACCGGCAAGGTCAGCTTCCAGATGTTCAGCGCTGAGAATAATTATCCTGCTTATAAACATACCATCACAAGACGGAGAGCACTCTATTCTGATCAGTTAAAAGGTTCCCTTGTGTTTACGTAGCAAAGCAGCTCCATCACTATATTTAGAAAAACATCAACTAATTGTGTAATATGCAAACTGTCCCCTAAGTGCAATGTGTTACTTATCTATTGCTGTCTAACAAAAAACTCTAAAACTTAGCAACTTAATGCAACAAACATAAACTGTCTCAGTTTCTGAGGGTCAGGAACCCAGGAGGGTTGCAGTCAAGTTGTTGGCTGGGATTGGGAAATCTGCTTTCAAGATATTTGACAATTATGGGATTGGGGACTCTGCTTTCAAGATTGTTAACAATTATCTCCCTTTTAATCATCCAGACAAACCTGTTAATGTAGCTACAACTCTCATTTTCCTAAGGAGAAAACAGCAGTTAAGTAATTTGATTCGAATTATGTAGTTAGTACGTGCCTGTGGAACTTGGTCCACTGAAGATACTGGTTATTACTCTCTATAAAGTTGTGTTAATTATTGGCAAACTTCATGTCTTACGTAGCTATTTTCTCTTTGCTGGTCCTGTTAGACCATCAGCAGTCTTTGCCTTTGTATGTCTGTCTGTCTGTGTTAGCCTGTCTTTGAGGAGATGTGTTGTGAGCTAAGGAATTCAGTAACCACACGTATTAGAATTATATGTAAAGTGAGTCAGCTGACTCTTGACTGTAGTCCCGACAGGAGAGCAGTTGTGAGTGGGATGTACTAGAAGTGATCACTGTTGCTTTTTCTCTTTTCTCACCTTTTAGCCTTCCAGTTAAAAGCTGAAATTCTAGGAAGCCTGACCTTTATGTAAATTGCCACTATCTCAAACTCTGCATAGCCTTACCTTGCATTTCAAATGAAAACATTTAACTAGAGAAGTTTGTTGATTGGTTAGTTTTTAGCTTTTTTACTGTGGAAATTTTCAAGCATAAATGGGAGAAGGGAGAAGAGTATAATCACATCAGAGTTACTACAGTCATTAACTTGCCACTTCCTTGCCACTTCCCGGGGTGTTTCAATGTAGCTTCATTATTCATTATGAGAAAGAAAGTCTTATAATGTTTGTTATATCCATGTTCAGGTGGAAATTCACTTTAACCCCAAATTATTTTTGGACTCCGCTAGTCTATAACTTCAATTAGTTCAAGTAATTAACAATTAAAATACCTTGCTTTGAAAGGAAATATTTCGAAGAGAAAGCTTTGGTTAATATTGGTGATTGCTCTCAAAGGGGTTTGGGAGTTTTGTTTGTTTTTATATTTTAATTTTTTACGAACAAATTTCCTCTTATGGTTCTTTTGTAAAAATTTCTTGGCTAGTGCACATTTTAATTTTTTACATTTTAATACTTACAAAATACTTAAAAAAAGATTATTATGTAAGTGTAAACACTGGAAGATCAAATGAAGCTTCACCTAACGTTAAGTCAAATGGTGATTCTAGTAAACTCATTGGAAAGAAGCTAGGTCTTGTTTTTCGCCAGCGGTTCACTGATGCTAACATTTCTGAGATTCCTGTTTCTTCAGTCGGGACCATCAGGCCTTTTCCTGGAGTAGTGAGACAGCTTTTCTGATGCATAGTGGCAGAGTCCATTCTGAGGCTGAAAATACCTAGGGCTAGAGAATTCAGAGTTCTTTTTTTCCTTTATCCACAAACATTTATTGGACTTGGAAGTGAAATGTGATTAGTTGTACCATTTAAATGGTTTTGTGGACCCCAGAACTCTGAGTTTAGTTTCCTTGTGTTCCTCTTATTATGACTATGTAACAAACCACCCTGGAACCAACAACAATCATTTTGCTCACGAATTTGCATGCTGAGGAGAGCTCACTGGGATAGCTGTGCTCCATACAGCATTTGTTAGGGTGGCTTGAAGGCTGGAGGCTGGAATTATGTGAAGCAGCTTTCTGCTGTAATAGATAAAGACGCAGCTCACTTACCAGTGGAACTTTCTGCAGTGATGGAAATGGTCTACATCTGCCCCGACACTACAGTAGAAACTCACCACATGTGGCTGTTGAGCACTTGAAATGTGGCTAATGTGACAGAGAAGTGAATTTTTCATTTTATTTAATTTTAATTAATACAAATTTAAATAGTTACTCGGGGCTAGTGGCTACTGTTTTGGACATTGCAAATCTGAAGGCACACTCACAGGTGTGACACCTGGGCTGGGAAGAATCTTCAGGCATTTCTCTCTGTGTGGCCTCTGCCTGTGAGCTCTCCAGCAAGGTGGCTCAGACCAGCCAGATTTCCTACCTGTTGGCTCAGGGCTCCTCAGGCACACATCGCACGGAGAGAGCGCCAGGGGAAGCTTTATTGTCTTTTGCTGCCTAATCTTAGATCTCCCAGTGTCACTTCCACAGGCATAAGCCAACCTGGGTTTAAGTGGGGGGCACATTGTCCCTACCCAGCAGTGGAGGGTCAGTGTCACATTGTAGGAAGAGCATGTGGAGGGGATCTACAGGCACCACCATCTTTGGAAAGCACAATCTGCTATGTCTCAACTGTGAAATGAGTCGGTTGGCTGGGTGATCTCTAAGTTTCCTTCTAGTTCTGCGTAGTTCTGAAGAAAGAAACCAACTGTCGTGTGTCAGATATTCTTTTTTTTTAAAAAAATCAAAGTAATAAAGGCCTCTTTTTAAAAATCAAGATGTTAGGATACAAAATAAAAAATTAATCCCCTGACTAACTTTCCTTTCTCCTAGTTCTATAGTTCTTTTACCCAAGGAGAAATCCGAATCTGTTTTCATTATTACTACTTTCAGTGATTTTTTAGCCATATGGCTAAATAATATGCTTATATTGTTGGTTCTTGATTTATCAGTTTTAGATGTAATGTATCTGAAAGTGCCTTTCTGTTATTACAGATGAGGAGATAGCTCACCTACCATCCTCTTCTCTCTGCCGTCCTACCATGGGGGTAGCACTGTTGTAGCTTACCTCTTGGCTCTCTTTCAGGAGGCATCCCTGTGTGGTGCAAACGGTTAAGCGCTCAAGTACTAACTGAATGGTTGGCGATCCAAACACATCTCGAGGTGCCTCAGAAAATAGGCCTGGTGGTCTGCTTCCGAAAGATCACAGCCTTGAAAACCTAATGGAGCATTTCTACTCTGCACACTTGGAGTCACTATGAGTTGGAATGGACTAGATAGCAATGTACAACCTTTTCAGCGTCCACAATGTATTTAACCCTTTCTGGTCTGTTCTATCAACTAGAGACACTGTCTCTTTTTTTAACTCTTCAAACAACCCATGAATTGGTACTACTATTATTGACATTTTTAAAAATTTTATTTATTATGTTGTTGTCATCGAGAATATACACAGCAAAACATACACCAATTCAACAGTTTCTGCATCTACCATTTAGTGACATTGAGTACATTCTTCGAGTTGCACAACCATTCTCACCCTGCTTTCTGACTTGTTCCTCCCGCATTAACATAAATTTACCGCCCACTAAGGTTCCTGCCTAATCTTTCAAGTTGCTGTTGTCAATTTAATTCCATATAAATAGTTCTTAAAAGAGCATAATGCTCAAGGCAGACATTTTTTACTAGTTATAAGCTAAGCTATTGTTTAGTTTTAATATCACTTCAGGGAATATTTTTGGTTTAAGCTTTAAAGATTATCTCAGGGCAGTAGTTTCAGGAGTTTATCCAACCTTCATGCTCCAGGAAGTCTGGAGTCCATGAGAATTTGAAATTCTGTTCTGCACTTTCCCCCTTTTGATGAGGATTCTTCTATGGAATCTTTGATGAAAATGTTCAGTCATGATAGCCCGGCACCATCCACTTCTTCTGGTCTCATGGCAAAGGAGGCAGTTGTTCATGGAGGCAATTAGCCACACATTCCATATCCTCCTCCTATTCCTGTCTCTCCTGTTGCTCTGGTGATTAGAGACTAATTATTGTGCCCTGGATAGCCGCTTGCAAGCTTTTAAGACAAAGAACTAGGAGGTAGAACAGAAGTACTAGATATGTTATTAGGTCAATTAACTGGAATGTTCCTTGAAACGATGACCCTAAACCTCCAAACCAAGGAACCAGATCCCACGAGGTATTTGGTTGTACATAAGCAGCCCCAGCAGCTACTCTTCTTTTTTTAAATTTTTTTTTGTCATTGTTGTAAATAATGCCAATCACACACGTTTTGCCAATTCAACTTTTTACTTGTGTACAACTTATTGACAGGAATTGCAGCAGTTGACTGCGCAACCCTACCCTTAATGGGATTTTTCCATCACTGTTAACCCCCCTTTTCCCCTCCCTCCCGCCCCTGATAACCTAATAAACTTTAGTCTCTATAATCTGCCAAGGCTGTTGTCTTTACAGAAGAAGACTGCCACGTCTTTCTCCTGCAGTGGGTTCAAACGATCGGTTAGCAGCCGAGTGCTTAACCCCTGCACCATGTGGACTCCTCAAATGTATAAAAAAACAATTCTGACTCATACCAACCCTATAGGACAGAGTAGAACTGCCCCATAGGGTTTCCAGGGAGTGGCTGGTAGATTCGAACTGCCAGCCTTTTGGTTAGCAGCCGAGCTCTTAACCACTGCGCCACCAGGGCCCTAACCCTAACCCTGAGGCAGTGAAAACCTGATTGGATATCTGTGTCTGTGAGCAGGGCTCATGGTTTGGAAGGTGTCCTTGAGGGGTAGGGAAGACCTTGGTGCTGGAATGTGTTCCCTGCCCTGAGGCTGACCCTTTCCCTAAAGGAAAGTTTTTTGTTTGTTTTGATTAGCTAGTTTTCTCTGGAGTGGCTGGGTGATGAGTAGATGCCTGGTTCGTATCTTT